AATGCTCCTACACGTGCATATTTCTAGCCTTGTATCACCCATACTGACAGCTAACTGAACGCCTACTTACCAGTACAAATATTCCAAAAACACATCCCTTTCATCCTTTGCTACCCGAAACAGCGGGAGTCAGTGATTTATTTATGGCGATGCTCAAAATTCTTATCATAGAAACACCAAAGAAAGTAACATCCTTAGTGCTTACCTGGTGTGCTAAAGAAATGAAACAGAGATTCTATCCTATTTACAGTCAGTTATGACCGGTCCTCAAATAATCAGCTACGTTGTGCCAGTTGACGCTATTAGAAACATTTTCATCATAAAGTCAATTGCATATTCATTTTAAAGTTATTGAATTATCGCTTTAATTAAGAAATCTGAAGTTATGCTAAGATCGAGGGAGGTAGAGGATGAGGAGGTGAGTAGAAGTTTCATTGTAATCAATATAAATGAATTTTGTATGAATTCATGATCTTTGTATATCATACATTCTCGCTTAATATGTACAGTTTTGACGTCGGGCTGTTCTCAACGTTTCGGCTTTTGAATATTCGGTGTTTGGTGACACTTACCTATATCAATGGGGCCATCTGACTACATTGACGTTTTCACTACAAGTTTCTCTATGAGCGTTACCACAAGAAAGTGCGTCCATATCGCTCCCGCTGTAAATAGCATGTCACACCTGTTAGAAGCAAACATTTTGATGACATTAGGCTCTTCAAGGAATCACGTTTACACTGACGACATAAACATTTCAATATCGAAAATATGTATGGGAATATCTGTATTTAGGTAGATAATAAGTATACATTTAGCATGAAAATATAAGGGTTGAACGGCATTTTTCAATGTTCATACCGGTATGAAGGCAAATGGGTTTCATACATATTTACCATGCATGAAGCCCTAGCTAGATTCATGGAATATGCATGTAACCGATTTGGGTTCATAACGGCATAAAATTGAAAAAAAAGATAACGTTCAATTCTTATTAATTCTAAATGTTTATCTTCCCTGTTGAATGGTTTTGCGTCTGATGCATTGAATACACCGCGTCAAATGCGTAAAATTTGCGTAAAATGGGTTTCTTTTCGACCTATATGGCTAAAATTTACGATTTTCAGAAAGAAAAAAGTTTTAAATTATTTATTTAAGTTGATTTTATAAGGCGGGTTTGAATATGAATTAAAAAGGGTACCTTTTGAGAACCAGTATTTTAGGGCGTATATATGTCCGTTGTACTGTATAAAATGCACCAAAATAGGAACTGTATGAAAACCACCATAGATTGTTAACAATTAGAAAGCTGGCTTGTCCGCAGGATATTTGTTGCGATGGAAAGGGGTGCATTTGTTAAGGTTAATTAGGTTAACAAGATTTCAACACGCTGTTGTCTTTACATATATTGTTTTGGTGTACGAATAAATAACTTTTTAAAAACCGTTTACGAATATAAAAGCATATTTTCTCAACGACAAAAACAAAAGAAGTTATCCGCAAATATGTACTAAAATATGAATTACGTTACCGTGAATTACGTTACCGCCTGCGGTGTCTGAGGTTACGTTACTGTGAATTACGTTACCGCCTGCGGTGTCTGAGGTTACGTTACTGTGAATCACGTTACCGCCGGCGGTGTCGGACATTACGTTACTGTGAATTACGTTACCGCCGGCGGTGTCAGACATTACGTTACTGTGAATTATTATGTTACCGCCGGCGGTGTCGGACATTACGTTACTGTAAATTGCGTTACCGCCGGCGGTGTCGGACATTACGTTACTGTGAATTACGTTACCGCCGGCGGTGTCGGACATTACGTTACTGTGAATTATTATGTTACCGCCGGCGGTGTTGGACGTTCCATCCTGGTGCAAACGGACCGCCTTGAAATCTATATAAAATCGGATACTTGTATTATTTGATGCCAGTTATTGCATGAAGATTGAATACCTTATTTTTATTCATGTCTTCCCATTCTATCTTTTTATGACTAAAGTCATCCACAGTATAGCAAAAATTACCAGGATTCGCGTTGTTTTGAAATTGCTGTTTTGACTTCTATATACACATCCCATCGTAAGTTTACCATTATTTAGTAAAGGGAATTCACACCAGACAGAAATCTCATCAACTTGTTTAGGTAAAATCAAAGTTACTTCAACATCTACAGCACTATAAATTGCCGTCCCTCTTCCTTCAAGCCTGTTAAGTGAGAGTATATCATTTTATGTTCTTTAACGATCTCAAAACCACGACATTAGGAAATATTCCACACATACAAATAAGATCTAGCCTTTTCACTAAGATTAATTCTTCACTTAAGCATTTTTTGGTTCCGATTTGAAGAGTCGTCAGAATGATTAATTTCTCCGTCAATAATTCCCTCGGTGTCCTTGACATCTCTTTCTTTTTATTGATGACCCTGACTTAGGTCTTTTTGTAGAAATATTATGTTCGAAATAGGCAATGATGCCGAAACCAAAACCGAAAGTAGAAAAAAATGTGAATTCCAGTAAGTCATAATGATTCATACTCGGTGAATTACGAAGGTTTAAACAACATTTCTGTAAAAAGTATTACTGAGTAATGATGAATTGAATTGAAGACGCTCGTTGTCGGTTGAAGATTCTATTAAGTGTGACAAATACTGTAACATACATGAAATCGCAATACATTGCAACTTGTTGGTTAATAGAATAATAGTATCGGAGCTAATTTTATAAACAAAACCTTTGACTTATATAACTAGTCACACACAAACAGCAGCACAACTTATTTGTGTGTAGACTGCAAGCAGTGGACGAAAAATGCAAGTTTTCATTAATAAAACGTCTACAAAAGGATATATAGTTTGTTGAAACTTGGCTGGTAAATACATATTTCCAAACGGCAATTTTGAACAAAACTACTTTGATAAGAATGTTCCATTAAAGATTTGATGTAAATGAAAACACACAGTATCTATTGTCAAATGTTGTTACTTTATGTATGGTCTGCTTAATTAAAAACAAAACATGATATCCAGAATATATTATAAAAGAAAAAAAATGTTTCTCATTACAATTTACAAAATAAAAAAACAGTAAAAAAAGAAAAAGCACATATTGAGAAAATTTATCAGTTTTACTTTCTACACAAACTAGGTATGTTTCAAACATACATAACATAACAAATAACTCACTTGGTCATAACTTGGAAAAGGGACCAGTCAGTGTTAAAACGTGTGTCTAGGGCTGCAATGATATATCGTACCGTATCGTATCGTGATAATTTCTTATGTATCATTTCGAATTGTTTTGTTTGCCTGTATCGCGATACATAAACTGTACTGACAAATATCAGTATTTGAAAGAGTTAACTTATTGTTTATTGATTTGTTATCTTTGAATAAAGGTATGGCCCTCTTTCATATATATAATTAAGTCTAGGACAAAACTGTAAAATCCTGCACTCAATCATTAAGTGTTTTTGTTACCTAAATTTTACAACAGCCTGTTCCTTTATTAATTGGGAAAATACATCTTTATTTGTAATGTTCCTTAGTTTTTGGTTATTTTAGAAAAATATGGCACTTTTTAGCTCAGGGAAACTGCCTGTTTTCAGTGGTAAAACTGAGCAAAATATATTCACTGTCATGAAGTTTATCTTGACTTTTAGAACAGATACGTGTATCATGGTACATATCAAATCGTATGCATCATACCGAGTCAGATATCGTTATGTGAAGTTTGCGTATCATTGTAACCCTAGTTGCGACACATTAAATACATACATTGTTTACATAGAAAGTAAAACTTTGATATAGAGTTTTTGTTTGCACTTCAGTCATCTAGGTGTCTTGCAGTTTTGCTCTTTTTGCATCCTCCGTTGATATTTATGTTTACCTTAAAACTTCATTCATGAATATGCATTATACAAGTCTTTGTAAATGACCAGTATAGAATCCGTGCATATCACTAGGTCTAATTCAGGGAATAAAAATCAGAATAAGAATCAGGAAAAAAAATATAACAGTGCTGTGGCCTAACACCTGTAAATACCTTACCATCTTCCTCATTACATTATGTACAGTACCTGGATATATGATTTGAGATCATGGTCAACTGATCTGAACACTTCTAAAGGACTTTCATTACATTCATCATGAATATAAATTAAAGAACTTAAATTTGACCTTTCTATTTCTAAATATCACTCTGCCAAAAATGACAGTCAAATCAGTTAATAGGTTACTGAATGAAATACATTTGACAGATGGAGAATTCTCTCTATAAATGTAAAATTTCTGTAAACAATGTTTGTATATATATATTACTGGTGTCATTATCAGCAGTTTCATTTAAAAAATAGATTAAGAAATAACCATTACTGTAAGATATTTGAATATATTTACAATGTAAAATCGAGTGTTTCCATGCACAGACTTGCCTAGTCGTACAGAAATATCCAATAAAGCTTCTTAAGAAGCTTCTTAAGAATCACTTCTTCTAAATAGTCAAAATGCAAAGGGTGGTGATGACAAGATGAAGAGCAATCTATTTTGTTCATGTGAATGATCTTGACACACGTTCAATTTTACATCTGGTCAATATTGTATGAACCATTAAAAGTCATTTTTTCAATAAACAAAAGGTCTAGGGTGGTGATATTTGGCAGGTTGCATTCTGGGATAAAGGACTATAAATTTAAGATTTGTTCAAATTAATGTCATTCTTAGATTTTCAAGCTCATTGGTGTCAAATATGTTAAAATCTTTATAACAGGTTCTTTTGAATGACTTTGAGTCAAGACACTGTTAATTTGCCTGTAGCTTTATTTAAGTTCATTTCTAAAGTTACAAGTGTGATATTAATACCAGGTGAACGGCACAGGCCCATTTAGCCTCTTGTTTGTTTAAAATCTAGGAAAAATACTATTTATTCCTGTTTTTGTAATATTAGTGCCTTGAATGTTTCCAGGTATTGTCATCAGATTTTCTACACTTTATGTTTCAGGTTTGTACAGAAATATCAGAAATGGCTTCAGATATTCCAAAAGAGGCCATAGTTATCCACAACTCAATGGTTCATTATCTTAGTGGACATATTGGGAAGACCAAATTAAAGGAACTTACGAGACTGTTTAGATTAAATCCATTAACTACAGTCGAAATTGATTCAGTTGAAGACATCTATGACCTATTCGAGATTCTTATGAGATACATTGAAATAGCTATAGGAGACTATACACAATTCGTACTGCAACTTCATCGTACAAATCCAGACCTGGCGATATATGTGACAGATAAAGAGAAGGAAATTAAAAGCATTGTTGATGGAGGTGAGTCAAACTTACATATTACAACATGTCTATATCAATAATATTTCATCAAACTTAAGGAATGATTTTGATAGTAAGTATAAAAACCTGACCAATCGCTAGGCTGATACCTGACCTTTGTAGATTACTAAGGAGAGACGCCCTGTCAATTTGTACCGTTACGCTGACGCGAGATTCTAGTCTTCTTGTCTCATAAACAAGGTGGCTCACACTAAGCCTTCAATTTCGCTATGACATAATCCAGGGGTGTAGAGAGCGAAAGTGAGCGTAACCCCTGGGTATCGAGGATGAACTTATCACTGCAGCTACAGACTAATAGAGCCGAAAGGCTATTTATAAATAAACTTTTTTCCATACAAGGAAATGATTAATGACAAGTTAGAAACTGGTACTTTATATGTATAGTCTAGTTTTCTATTGATCTTGGACTTAATACAGGTAGATCTTTGTTGTATGTATAGATTGTGTATATTTAGTGAAAGTTACCGACACATTTGTTTTAATTCCAGGTCCATCACCAGGCAAAAAACCAAGGCCAGGAGATCAAGGCCAGCAACAGTCTACAGGTTTGTGATCAGCAAATGTTCGGTGGGATTTAAACATGTTAAGTTGTTTGAATTATATATTTATAGAGAGATGTACATGTACGCACAAGTATAAGAACATATTTTCAGTGCACCCAGTTGCCCATGCATTTACAGGACTACGTAATGGTGGAGCCAAAACAATCACAGAAAAAACATGATTTCAGGTCACCCTTTATGTTATCACCATACATCATTCCACCATTGAATTGTGTTTTTATGATTATTTATGTATGGTAAGCCCACCATGCTAGACTGCTCAAATTGTTTTTTGTCTGGTTTGGGGTTCATCAGTCAGACAGTCCGTCATTCCTTATCTAAACAATTACTGCTGTCTGTCCATCTGTCGGTTTTAAGAGTATTCTGATCAAGTTCCATATGACCCATGGTTTCTGATATATTGACAGTAGGTAACCGAGATCTATAAAAATTACTCATATAAATGACCTTGACATACTTTCAAGGTCAGAGGGTCATATACTTGAAATACTTACAACAATTATATGAAGAACAAAAAGGACCTGAGCCATCATATTTTGGATATGTTATGTAAACAGGTAGTGTAAACCTTGGTATGGATGATCTCCTGGGCCCATAGTTGTGCATGCTCCAATTTCAGATGGATCAGAAAATCTAATTTAGAATATAAGCCCCTCAAAGTTTGTGTTGCAATATGATTTACACAACTTCCTTGTTACCTCAGTAGCATCAAATCAAATCAACATCAAATAATTAGTGTCAACTCACTCACTGTGAAATTATAGAAATGGAATCAATGTTGTAACATCCTTCAATATTAAGATGGTAATTATAGGACTACTGTTACAAAATCTTTACGATCGTTTGACGTAGTTCTATCAGTCCAGGTATAATAAGCATGAGTTGTACCGGTATGGTGGATGACACTTCGTTAAAATTGTATTGGAAATAAATTGATGAACTTACTATAATCAAAATTGGAATGATTTTGATAGTAAGTATACATGTTTTTTTTATCTATTTCCAGATCCGACTGCTATGACTGTTACAACAGCAGACACAAGCCAAGCCAAAAGTAAGTTTGACAGCTGCCTTTATTACCAGACGCACCATCTGGTTATTAGCTCATCTGGTCCACATGACCATGGTGAGCTTATGTCATACCGCAGCGTCCGTCCTTCGTCCGGCATCCGTCGTCCGGCCGTCAACTTTTCCTTTAAAACGCTACTTGTCCTGAACGGCTAAGTAGATTTTGACTAAATTTGGTCTGGAGCATTCTTAGGCCAAGGGAACACAATTTTGTATAAACGGTGGGTGTGCCCCCCTTGGGGGATGAGGGGCGGGGCAAAACAATGGAAATAGAGGTAAAACCTTTAAAATCCTTCTTCTACCATAGGGATTAAGGGTTTCATTCTAATCTAGTCTCGAGCATCTTTCGGCCAAGGGGACTCAATTTTGTATAAATGGTGGGTGTGGCCCCCATAGGGGCATAGGGGCGGGCAATATAGGGGAAATAGAGGTAAAAACTTTAAAATCCTTCTTTTATCGTAGGGATTTGGGGATTTTATCCTTATTTGAACTAGAGTCATGTTACTTGGGTATGTTATGAAGACCAGCATTACAAATCTTTTTCTCAGTAACAGTAATGAGGTCAAAGGTCAACTTTAAGTGCAAGTCGGGGTCAAAGGTCAACATGGGTCCAAGGCCTTAACAATCTTCTTCTGAAGTTCCATAAAGCTTAGGGTCATGATATATGGCCAGTAGGTACCTGGGACGAAGTGCTATAAAGTTTCCTCATTGAAATGACCCTGACCTACTTTCAATGTCACTGGGGTCAAATATGTTAAAAACTTCAAACAACAATATCCTAAGAACCATTTGGACTAGAGTCATGATACTTGGGTTTGTTATGTAGACCAGCTGTGTGAATTGTTTTCTTTATTATAGTAATGAGGTCAAAGGTCAACTTTAAGTGCAAGTCGGGAGTCAAAGGTCAATATGGGTTAAAAGCTTTAAAATTACAATTTCAAGTTTCAAACAACAATATCTTCAGAACCGTTTAAGAGATGTTAAAATGTCTTGTGTTCTAGTTACCAAATTTGGTCTTAAGTTACCTATATGTCAGTTGCGTGTAACAAAAGAAATAGGTGAGCGATACAGGCCCCCTGGGCCTCTTGTTTAAATCAGATTGGAATTATTAGCTCATCTGGAACAAAGTACCAGTGAGCTTTTGTGGTGGTGAATCCTTGTTTTATAAACGAGGAGTTTCACAGGTGTCTAATAATTTTATAGTGGGAATCTAATAATTTAAACATACAAACTTGGAGAGGAAAAAGTACATTACACAACAACCAGGGTGTGCCTTAAATCTGGTACTATACATAGATAGTGGAGGGTAGACATATGAATTGAAAAATGAGCATCAAACGAAACAGATAGTAGGAAAATATGACATTCTAACCAATTGGACAGCTGGTAAACAGTGATTGACCATGTCCAGTAGGATTGTGTTTATACTCTTGGACAGTAGGAAGTTAAATTAGATTATATAAATATGTATATATAAGTAGAGAAGTTACAGTGGGGACAATGCAATTTGTCAAATTTTTGAGGCAGTCTGCCTCTTTATCAAATAAGATTTATATAACAACCAGTTAAAACACACCTACTACTGAGGTTATAACGCTGATGTCAAATCTTATCCCATCCTCTATATCCAGGGGTTATGCTCACTTGCGCTCTCTACACCCCTGAAATATGTCATAGCAAAATTGAAGGTACGCAGATAGCTGTTTGATTGGTCTCAGGTAAAAAAAACCTGACCAATCGCTAGGCTGATACCTGACCTTTGTAGATTACTAAGGAGAGACGCCCTGTCAATTTGCACCGTTACGCTGACGCGAGATTCTAGTCTTCTTGTCTCATAAACAAGGTGGCTCACACTAAGCCTTCAATTTCGCTATGACATAATCCAGGGGTGTAGAGAGCGAAAGTGAGCGTAACCCCTGGGTATCGAGGATGAACTTATCACTGCAGCTACAGACTAATAGAGCCGAAAGGCTATTTATAAATAAACTTTTTTCCATACAAGGAAATGATTAATGACAAGTTAGAAACTGGTACTTTATATGTATAGTCTAGTTTTCTATTGATCTTGGACTTAATACAGGTAGATCTTTGTTGTATGTATAGATTGTGTATATTTAGTGAAAGTTACCGACACATTTGTTTTAATTCCAGGTCCATCACCAGGCAAAAAACCAAGGCCAGGAGATCAAGGCCAGCAACAGTCTACAGGTTTGTGATCAGCAAATGTTCGGTGGGATTTAAACATGTTAAGTTGTTTGAATTATATATTTATAGAGAGATGTACATGTACGCACAAGTATAAGAACATATTTTCAGTGCACCCAGTTGCCCATGCATTTACAGGACTACGTAATGGTGGAGCCAAAACAATCACAGAAAAAACATGATTTCAGGTCACCCTTTATGTTATCACCATACATCATTCCACCATTGAATTGTGTTTTTATGATTATTTATGTATGGTAAGCCCACCATGCTAGACTGCTCAAATTGTTTTTTGTCTGGTTTGGGGTTCATCAGTCAGACAGTCCGTCATTCCTTATCTAAACAATTACTGCTGTCTGTCCATCTGTCGGTTTTAAGAGTATTCTGATCAAGTTCCATATGACCCATGGTTTCTGATATATTGACAGTAGGTAACCGAGATCTATAAAAATTACTCATATAAATGACCTTGACATACTTTCAAGGTCAGAGGGTCATATACTTGAAATACTTACAACAATTATATGAAGAACAAAAAGGACCTGAGCCATCATATTTTGGATATGTTATGTAAACAGGTAGTGTAAACCTTGGTATGGATGATCTCCTGGGCCCATAGTTGTGCATGCTCCAATTTCAGATGGATCAGAAAATCTAATTTAGAATATAAGCCCCTCAAAGTTTGTGTTGCAATATGATTTACACAACTTCCTTGTTACCTCAGTAGCATCAAATCAAATCAACATCAAATAATTAGTGTCAACTCACTCACTGTGAAATTATAGAAATGGAATCAATGTTGTAACATCCTTCAATATTAAGATGGTAATTATAGGACTACTGTTACAAAATCTTTACGATCGTTTGACGTAGTTCTATCAGTCCAGGTATAATAAGCATGAGTTGTACCGGTATGGTGGATGACACTTCGTTAAAATTGTATTGGAAATAAATTGATGAACTTACTATAATCAAAATTGGAATGATTTTGATAGTAAGTATACATGTTTTTTTTATCTATTTCCAGATCCGACTGCTATGACTGTTACAACAGCAGACACAAGCCAAGCCAAAAGTAAGTTTGACAGCTGCCTTTATTACCAGACGCACCATCTGGTTATTAGCTCATCTGGTCCACATGACCATGGTGAGCTTATGTCATACCGCAGCGTCCGTCCTTCGTCCGGCATCCGTCGTCCGGCCGTCAACTTTTCCTTTAAAACGCTACTTGTCCTGAACGGCTAAGTAGATTTTGACTAAATTTGGTCTGGAGCATTCTTAGGCCAAGGGAACACAATTTTGTATAAACGGTGGGTGTGCCCCCCTTGGGGGATGAGGGGCGGGGCAAAACAATGGAAATAGAGGTAAAACCTTTAAAATCCTTCTTCTACCATAGGGATTAAGGGTTTCATTCTAATCTAGTCTCGAGCATCTTTCGGCCAAGGGGACTCAATTTTGTATAAATGGTGGGTGTGGCCCCCATAGGGGCATAGGGGCGGGCAATATAGGGGAAATAGAGGTAAAAACTTTAAAATCCTTCTTTTATCGTAGGGATTTGGGGATTTTATCCTTATTTGAACTAGAGTCATGTTACTTGGGTATGTTATGAAGACCAGCATTACAAATCTTTTTCTCAGTAACAGTAATGAGGTCAAAGGTCAACTTTAAGTGCAAGTCGGGGTCAAAGGTCAACATGGGTCCAAGGCCTTAACAATCTTCTTCTGAAGTTCCATAAAGCTTAGGGTCATGATATATGGCCAGTAGGTACCTGGGACGAAGTGCTATAAAGTTTCCTCATTGAAATGACCCTGACCTACTTTCAATGTCACTGGGGTCAAATATGTTAAAAACTTCAAACAACAATATCCTAAGAACCATTTGGACTAGAGTCATGATACTTGGGTTTGTTATGTAGACCAGCTGTGTGAATTGTTTTCTTTATTATAGTAATGAGGTCAAAGGTCAACTTTAAGTGCAAGTCGGGAGTCAAAGGTCAATATGGGTTAAAAGCTTTAAAATTACAATTTCAAGTTTCAAACAACAATATCTTCAGAACCGTTTAAGAGATGTTAAAATGTCTTGTGTTCTAGTTACCAAATTTGGTCTTAAGTTACCTATATGTCAGTTGCGTGTAACAAAAGAAATAGGTGAGCGATACAGGCCCCCTGGGCCTCTTGTTTAAATCAGATTGGAATTATTAGCTCATCTGGAACAAAGTACCAGTGAGCTTTTGTGGTGGTGAATCCTTGTTTTATAAACGAGGAGTTTCACAGGTGTCTAATAATTTTATAGTGGGAATCTAATAATTTAAACATACAAACTTGGAGAGGAAAAAGTACATTACACAACAACCAGGGTGTGCCTTAAATCTGGTACTATACATAGATAGTGGAGGGTAGACATATGAATTGAAAAATGAGCATCAAACGAAACAGATAGTAGGAAAATATGACATTCTAACCAATTGGACAGCTGGTAAACAGTGATTGACCATGTCCAGTAGGATTGTGTTTATACTCTTGGACAGTAGGAAGTTAAATTAGATTATATAAATATGTATATATAAGTAGAGAAGTTACAGTGGGGACAATGCAATTTGTCAAATTTTTGAGGCAGTCTGCCTCTTTATCAAATAAGATTTATATAACAACCAGTTAAAACACACCTACTACTGAGGTTATAACGCTGATGTCAAATCTTATCCCATCCTCTATATCCAGGGGTTATGCTCACTTGCGCTCTCTACACCCCTGAAATATGTCATAGCAAAATTGAAGGTACGCAGATAGCTGTTTGATTGGTCTCAGGTAAAAAAAACCTGACCAATCGCTAGGCTGATACCTGACCTTTGTAGATTACTAAGGAGAGACGCCCTGTCAATTTGCACCGTTACGCTGACGCGAGATTCTAGTCTTCTTGTCTCATAAACAAGGTGGCTCACACTAAGCCTTCAATTTCGCTATGACATAATCCAGGGGTGTAGAGAGCGAAAGTGAGCGTAACCCCTGGGTATCGAGGATGAACTTATCACTGCAGCTACAGACTAATAGAGCCGAAAGGCTATTTATAAATAAACTTTTTTCCATACAAGGAAATGATTAATGACAAGTTAGAAACTGGTACTTTATATGTATAGTCTAGTTTTCTATTGATCTTGGACTTAATACAGGTAGATCTTTGTTGTATGTATAGATTGTGTATATTTAGTGAAAGTTACCGACACATTTGTTTTAATTCCAGGTCCATCACCAGGCAAAAAACCAAGGCCAGGAGATCAAGGCCAGCAACAGTCTACAGGTTTGTGATCAGCAAATGTTCGGTGGGATTTAAACATGTTAAGTTGTTTGAATTATATATTTATAGAGAGATGTACATGTACGCACAAGTATAAGAACATATTTTCAGTGCACCCAGTTGCCCATGCATTTACAGGACTACGTAATGGTGGAGCCAAAACAATCACAGAAAAAACATGATTTCAGGTCACCCTTTATGTTATCACCATACATCATTCCACCATTGAATTGTGTTTTTATGATTATTTATGTATGGTAAGCCCACCATGCTAGACTGCTCAAATTGTTTTTTGTCTGGTTTGGGGTTCATCAGTCAGACAGTCCGTCATTCCTTATCTAAACAATTACTGCTGTCTGTCCATCTGTCGGTTTTAAGAGTATTCTGATCAAGTTCCATATGACCCATGGTTTCTGATATATTGACAGTAGGTAACCGAGATCTATAAAAATTACTCATATAAATGACCTTGACATACTTTCAAGGTCAGAGGGTCATATACTTGAAATACTTACAACAATTATATGAAGAACAAAAAGGACCTGAGCCATCATATTTTGGATATGTTATGTAAACAGGTAGTGTAAACCTTGGTATGGATGATCTCCTGGGCCCATAGTTGTGCATGCTCCAATTTCAGATGGATCAGAAAATCTAATTTAGAATATAAGCCCCTCAAAGTTTGTGTTGCAATATGATTTACACAACTTCCTTGTTACCTCAGTAGCATCAAATCAAATCAACATCAAATAATTAGTGTCAACTCACTCACTGTGAAATTATAGAAATGGAATCAATGTTGTAACATCCTTCAATATTAAGATGGTAATTATAGGACTACTGTTACAAAATCTTTACGATCGTTTGACGTAGTTCTATCAGTCCAGGTATAATAAGCATGAGTTGTACCGGTATGGTGGATGACACTTCGTTAAAATTGTATTGGAAATAAATTGATGAACTTACTATAATCAAAATTGGAATGATTTTGATAGTAAGTATACATGTTTTTTTTATCTATTTCCAGATCCGACTGCTATGACTGTTACAACAGCAGACACAAGCCAAGCCAAAAGTAAGTTTGACAGCTGCCTTTATTACCAGACGCACCATCTGGTTATTAGCTCATCTGGTCCACATGACCATGGTGAGCTTATGTCATACCGCAGCGTCCGTCCTTCGTCCGGCATCCGTCGTCCGGCCGTCAACTTTTCCTTTAAAACGCTACTTGTCCTGAACGGCTAAGTAGATTTTGACTAAATTTGGTCTGGAGCATTCTTAGGCCAAGGGAACACAATTTTGTATAAACGGTGGGTGTGCCCCCCTTGGGGGATGAGGGGCGGGGCAAAACAATGGAAATAGAGGTAAAACCTTTAAAATCCTTCTTCTACCATAGGGATTAAGGGTTTCATTCTAATCTAGTCTCGAGCATCTTTCGGCCAAGGGGACTCAATTTTGTATAAATGGTGGGTGTGGCCCCCATAGGGGCATAGGGGCGGGCAATATAGGGGAAATAGAGGTAAAAACTTTAAAATCCTTCTTTTATCGTAGGGATTTGGGGATTTTATCCTTATTTGAACTAGAGTCATGTTACTTGGGTATGTTATGAAGACCAGCATTACAAATCTTTTTCTCAGTAACAGTAATGAGGTCAAAGGTCAACTTTAAGTGCAAGTCGGGGTCAAAGGTCAACATGGGTCCAAGGCCTTAACAATCTTCTTCTGAAGTTCCATAAAGCTTAGGGTCATGATATATGGCCAGTAGGTACCTGGGACGAAGTGCTATAAAGTTTCCTCATTGAAATGACCCTGACCTACTTTCAATGTCACTGGGGTCAAATATGTTAAAAACTTCAAACAACAATATCCTAAGAACCATTTGGACTAGAGTCATGATACTTGGGTTTGTTATGTAGACCAGCTGTGTGAATTGTTTTCTTTATTATAGTAATGAGGTCAAAGGTCAACTTTAAGTGCAAGTCGGGAGTCAAAGGTCAATATGGGTTAAAAGCTTTAAAATTACAATTTCAAGTTTCAAACAACAATATCTTCAGAACCGTTTAAGAGATGTTAAAATGTCTTGTGTTCTAGTTACCAAATTTGGTCTTAAGTTACCTATATGTCAGTTGCGTGTAACAAAAGAAATAGGTGAGCGATACAGGCCCCCTGGGCCTCTTGTTTAAATCAGATTGGAATTATTAGCTCATCTGGAACAAAGTACCAGTGAGCTTTTGTGGTGGTGAATCCTTGTTTTATAAACGAGGAGTTTCACAGGTGTCTAATAATTTTATAGTGGGAATCTAATAATTTAAACATACAAACTTGGAGAGGAAAAAGTACATTACACAACAACCAGGGTGTGCCTTAAATCTGGTACTATACATAGATAGTGGAGGGTAGACATATGAATTGAAAAATGAGCATCAAACGAAACAGATAGTAGGAAAATATGACATTCTAACCAATTGGACAGCTGGTAAACAGTGATTGACCATGTCCAGTAGGATTGTGTTTATACTCTTGGACAGTAGGAAGTTAAATTAGATTATATAAATATGTATATATAAGTAGAGAAGTTACAGTGGGGACAATGCAATTTGTCAAATTTTTGAGGCAGTCTGCCTCTTTATCAAATAAGATTTATATAACAACCAGTAAAAAAAACACACCTACTACTGAGGTTATAACGCTGATGTCAAATCTTATCCCATCCTCTATATCCAGGGGTTACGCTCACTTGCGCTCTCTACACCCCTGAAATATGTCATAGCAAAATTGAAGGTACGCAGATAGCTGTTTGATTGGTCTCAGGTAAAAAAAAATGACCAATCGCTAGGCTGATACCTGACCTTTGTAGATTACTAAGGAGAGACGCCCTGTCAATTTGTACCGTTACGCGGACGCGAGATTCTTTTGATGTACATCAAAGGATTGAATTAGTCTTCTTGTCTCATAAACAAGGTGGCTCACACTAAGCCTTCAATTTCGCTATGACATAATCCAGGGGTGTAGAGAGCGAAAGTGAGCGTAACCCCTGGGTATCGAGGATGAACTTATCACTGCAGCTACAGACTAATAGAGCCGAAAGGCTATTTATAAATAAACTTTTTTCCATACAAGGAATTGATTAATGACAAGTTAGAAACTGGTACTATATATATATAGTCTAGTTTTCTATTGATCTTGGACTTAATACAGGTAGATCTTTGTTATATGTATAGATTGTGTATATTTAGTGAAAGTTACCGACACATTTGTTTAAATTCAGGTCCATCACCAGCCAAGCAACCAAGGCCAGGAGATCAAGGCCAGCAACAGTCTACAGGTTTGTGATCAACACATGTTCAGCGGGATTTAAACATGTAAAGTTGTTTGAATTCTATATTTATAGAGTGATGTAGTATAAGAACATATTTTCAGTGCACCCAGTTGCCCATTCATTTACAGGACTACGTAATGGTGAAGCCATAACAATCAGAGAAAAAAACATGATTTCAGGTCACCCTTTATGTTATCACCATACATCATCCCACCATTGAATTGTGTTTTTATTATTATTTATGTATGGTAAGCCCACCATGCTAGACTGCTCAAATTGTTTTCTGTCTGGTTTGAGATTCATCAGTCAGGCAGTCTGTCATTCCTTATCTAAACAATTACTGCTGTCTTTCCATCTGTCGGTTTTAAGAGTATTCCGATCAAGTTCCATATGTCCCAGGGTTACTGATATTTTGTCAGTAGGTAACCGAGATCTTTAAAATTTATTCATATACATGACCTTGACATACTTTCAAGGTCAAAGGACAAAAAGGACATGAGCAATCATATTTTGGATATGTTACGTAAACAGGTAGTGTGAACCTTGGTATGGATGATCTCCTGGGCCCATAGTTGTGCATGCTCCAATTTCAGATGGATCAGAAAATCTAATTTAGAATATAAGCCCCTCAAAGTTTGTGTTGCAATATGATTTACACAACTTCGTTGTTACCTCAGTAGCAATATTAGTAGAGTAGCAATATTAGTAGAGAAAAGAAACGAAACCTACATACCAGCAACATTCCATGATATTTGTGCCACGATCCCTCTGGGATCTCATGTGTTCTGTTACACTTTCATCATGTTGTCATCAACATCAAATAATTAGTGTCAACTCACTCACTGTGAAATTATAGAAATGAAATCAATGTTGAAACATCCTTCAATATAAAGATGGTAATTATAGGACTACTGTTACAAAATCTTTACGATCGTTTGACCTAGTTCTATCAGTCCAGGTATAATAAGCATGAGTTGTACCGGTATGGTGGATGACACTTCGTTAAAATTGTATTGGAAATAAATTGATGAACTTACTATAATCAGAATTGGAATGATTTTGATAGTAAGTATACATGTGTTCCATCTATTTCCAGATCCGACTGCTATGACTGTTACAACAGCAGACACAAGCCAAGCCAAAAGTAAGTTTGACAGCTGCCTTTATAACCAGACGTACCATTTGGTTATTAGCTCATCTGGTCCACAGGACCATCGTGAGCTTATGCCATACCGCAGCGTCCGTCCTTTGTCCGGCATCCGTCGTCCGGCCGTCAAATTTTCCTTTAAAACGCTACTTGTCCTGACCGGCTAAGTAGATTTTGACTAAATTTGGTCTGGAGCATTCTTAGGCCAAGGGAACACAATTTTGTATAAACGGTGGATGTGCCCCCCCCCCCCACACTGGGGGCAGAAGGGCGGGGCCCAATAGGGGAAATAGAGANTAAACCTTTAAAATCCTTCTTCTACCATAGGGATTAAGGGATTTCATTCTAATTTAGTCTTGAGCATCTTTCGGCCAAGGAGACTCATTTATGTATAAATGGTGGGTGTGGCCCCCATAGGGGCGTAGGGGCAAAATAGGGGAAATAGAGGTAAAAAAAATAATTCCTTCTTCTACCATAAAGATTAAAGTATTTTATGCTAAATAAGCCTGGACCATCCTTGCATCTTGGTCTTGGTGTGGCCCCCCTCGGGACAGAGGGGCGGGGCCCAATAGGGGAAACATAGCAAATTCTTCAAAATCCTTGTCCTTCTGTTAATGTAGGAATGACAGGATTTTGTCCAAATGTCATATGAACGGTGAGTCTGACTCCCCTTGGGGCAGAGAGGCAGGGTCAAATATGGGATACAGAGGAATAGCTTTAATATCCCTTTTTTCCTTTAGGATGAAGGTATTATGACCAAATTTGAACAGTAACATCCTATTGGGAAGGGAAATTAATTTTGTGTAAATGATGTGTCTGACCTCTGAGGAGGTGGGGCCCAATAGAGGTAATTTAGCAAATTCTTGAAAATTCTTCTTCTGTAGGAATAACAGGATTTTGTCCATATTTGGTATAAAGCATCATTGGATAAAGGTGACCTGGTTTTGTATCAAAGGTGGGTCCGACCCCACTCGGGACAAAGGAGCGGGGCCCAATAGGGGAAACATAATAATTCTTCAAAATCCTTCTTTTCCTCTAGAAATGACAGGATTTTGTCCAATTGCATATAAATATAACCCCTGACTAACCATGTAATACATGTACACTACCAGCAATATCTAGCTATATTCCAACTTCAATTTTACTAACATTTCCAGGTGAGCGATACAGGCCCTCTGGGCCTCTTGTATTTTACTAGCAGGTTGTTTTAAGAATTTGAATGAAGAAACTAAGTATAATGGAATGTTTTGAAAAGATATACAACAGCAAGACCAAGTGCCAGAAAGCCAGTATCTCCACCTTATTGTCAATATATAGGGGTACTTAGAAAGTCCGACTAGCTCTGTCTTTGGCTTTAAGTGACTGGACAGTCTAAAGCTATATTATTGAAATTAATTAAAAACCCTCCCCTTTTAATTCATTAGAAAATTTGTCTGGAATAAATAATCTGTTTATAATTCAAAGTGTGTCCTACCTATTTAATGTGAATCTCTTATTTTACAGAAATCCATCCCGACTTGGAACCCATGATAGGTGAGTCTTTATCTACTGCATTGGACATGGTTAGAGACGAAACACAGCAGATTTCCTCAAAACTTGGATCAGAACAACATGCATCATCTAAAGATATATGAAAGATTTTTTATAATTCTTTTTGAACAAGAATCTTGGTTTGCAAAAAGAGTAGTCTTGGTAATTAGATTGAACACCAATCTGATAAAGTTCATTCTTTCTCTGTTTCCACACACTACGGTGAAGGATCTAACGGCAAGTTCATAACAGGTCATTATCTGGTGAATGTTATTGCAGCCAATCATTGAAATGCTCTCCAAATAGTCTCTAAATTTCAAATACATGTAACTAAACATGACGTTTGTATTGAAGGTCACCAGAACATGACTCCTGGTGCCATGTCATCAGATCTTACACCATAGATATTGTAGAGGAAGGGAATGAAAGCTTTTGTAAGCTCACTTGGCCCGAAGGCCTACATGAGCTTATGCCGTACTGCGGTGTCCGTCGTCCGTCCGTCAACTTTTTCTTTTGAACGACTTCTTCTGAAGAACTGTAAGACCTAGGGTCATGATATTTGGCCATTAGGTACCTGGGATAGAGTGCTATGAAGTTTCCTCATTAAAATAAACTAGAGTCATGATACCTGGGTATGTTATGTAGACAAGCAGTGCAAATATTTTTCTCAATTACAGTTATGAGGTCAAATGTCAACTTTAAATGCTAGTCGGGGGTCAAATGTCAACTTTGGTTAAAAGCTTTAACAATCTTCTTCTCAAGTTCCATAAGGCCCAGGGTCAGATTGGAATTATAAGCTCATCTGGAACAAATTAAAGTACCAGTGAGCTTTTGTGGTGGTGTTCATCTGTCGTCTCTGTCTTCGATCATTATTTGCTTTAAATGACATCTCCTAAACTGTTGAGCAGAATTCAACCTAATTGTTAGCCTGTGGGGTAAAACTTTACACAAATGAAGAGCTGATTTTTGTGGGTTGAGAGTTAGAAAACTTTAAATGACATCTCTTCCTAAATTACTGGGTAGGTTTTAAGCAATTTCTGTGGTAGTGTCCTTAACCCATGGTGATCAAAATTTATGCACATGATTTAAATTAATATAAAGGGCAGACCCTCTTATACACTCTCTTCCCAAAGTATATGCCAGATTTCAATTTTATTTCCAAATAGCCAGTTGAGGGATTGCCCGAAGGGCAAGTGAGCTTATGCCATGGCGCAGCATCCATCATCCGTCTTCCGTCGTTCATCCATTTTCCTTTAAAACACTACTTGTCCTGAACGGCTTAGTGGATTTTGATTCAATTTAGTCTGGAGCATCCTTGGGCAAAGGTCTCTCAATTTTGTATAAGCAGTGGCTGTGGCCTACCTAGGGGCAAAGAAGTGGGGCCCAAAAGAAGATTTAGGGTAAAACCTTTAAATCCTTCTTCTACCATAGGGATTAAGGGATTTTATCCTTATATAGTCTTGAGCATCCTTGTTCCAAGGGCACTCAATTTTGCATAAACGGTGGATTTGGTCCCCTTAAAGGGCAGAAAGGTTGGGCCAAATATGGGAAATAGAGGTCAACATTTGAAATTGTTCTTCTACCATAGGGATTAAGGAATTTGTTCCTTATTTGATCTGGAACATCATCAGCCGAGGACACTCAGTTTTATATAAACGATAGGTGTTGCCCCCAAGGGATAGGCTGAATAAGGGAAATAGAGGTAAACCTTTAAATCCTTCTTTTAAGGTAGGGATAAAGGGATTTTATCCTGATTTGGTCTGAAACATCCTTGGTCCAAGGGGACTCTATTTTGAAAAAATGGTGGGTTTGCCTAAAAGGAAACTTGCACACGTGTAGCTCATTTGATAGAGCACAAGACAAGTAAACCACAGGTCCTGGGTTTGATCCCTAGTAGAGACATTAGAAATAATACTTCTTTTTGGATAAACATGCGAAGACTTAATTAAACATATGATTGGAACATACAATAAGATAAATAGACATAATATTGATTGCCATTTATTAATACTATTTGACTGCTCAAAATACCACATTTTGTGACTTCATACTAAATATAGCAGTGACGACATGATTCGCTGTGATTTCGAAAGGTTTGGAAACTGATTTTTGCTTACATCATGTTTGTGAGAATGAAGATTCTAAATTGATTGGTAAACTATCAGTTAATATATTTTATGATGCTACAATTAATTTGTTTATTCAACTCCTCCTTTACAAATGATTCCCTACAGTATTCTGTATTTGAAAGTAAAATGAAAACAAAAATCCGACTTAAATATCAAAATCAAAAATTTTCACTCGAAAATACCATTTTCACACAATTAAGACTTCTCACCCTATATTTACTTTTTTAATGCAGAAACAGCCAAAGCCAGAATTAAAAAAGAAAAAATAGTGAACAAATTCTATCCCACCAAAGGTTTCCGTGATGCTAAAGAAAAGCTCCTAAACAACAGGGTTGTTGTCATCAAGGGAAACACGGGAGACGGTAAGACAGCAATTGCCGTTCAACTCCTTCATTGGCTGAGTGAGGAGCAACAAGCCGGACAACCCCTACAACTTCATGAGATTAAGAAATTAGATTTATTGGCTCCAAACTTGAAATTGATCACTTTTATTGATGATATTTTTGGTGAGAAAGATGCGAGTAAAAAGGATGTACAACAGTGGAACAAAAGAATCTCAGATGTAAAAACACTTTTTTTAGATAAAAAAAACCAGACCAATTTCCTCATCATTACTATTCGTAATAAAGTATTCAATTCTTTGGAAAAACGTTCTCTTGGAACAATTTTTAACACAGATAACATTATTGATCTGAGTTCACATACATACGAACTTGCAGTAGAAAAACAACAACTTTTAGTGCTGTATGAGCCAGAAAACTTTTCATGGACAGACACAGAAAAATCACAAATTTTAACTTATGCACCAAACATTGGATTCCCACAATGTTGCCAGCTTTTCTACAATTCTGAAGAATTGCAGAAAGAGCGAGTGAGATTTTTTGAAAATCCTTTTTATTTTTTGAATGAAGCATTGTCAATATTAAAAGAATGGTCTGCACTTTTGTACCTCTTCCTCAATGACGGAGTGATCAGAGTAGAAGATCTGGATCCAAACAGTAAAAAAGTCAATGAAACATTGCTGGAACAAGCATTTTCAATAAAGTTGATTGATGGTAAATATCACACAGCCACTTATCACACAGCAACTTTATTTTGTGATAAAATTGGAAAAGTGGGAGTTATAAAGGACAGTTTCGATAAATTATTAGGCTTTTTGGTAAAGAAGGAGAAAAATTGGTCTGGTGAGGATGTGTACAGATTTAATCATGATTCTATATATGCTGCTGTGGCAATTTTGTATGGAAATGTCACACCGATCGGCTATATACAGAATTGTCCAAGCAAATCCCTCAGTTATCTAACAACCTCAGAGACAGCTACAAAAATGATTGTCATATCATCTGATCATTTTACAGAGATGTGTGAGCGTCTACTCCAAGAGTTTGAATCTGAGGAGAAACGATGTGGTACTAGTAGTATTGGCTCTCTAGATGTATGGAATGATCATGTATTTGTTAAAAGATTTGTCAGTTTGTTGAATCACAAAAACGTTGATAAACTTGCTGTTTTGAATAAGGCATGTTCTTTTGGTGCAGAAGAATTTGTTTTATATCTTCTGTCAAAAGGTGTAAGACCTGACAAAGACACAGCATTGTCATTGGTTAGTGGACATTTGAATGATAGTAACAGACAAGTGCGTTTACTTAGGGAAATTGTTGTATACTTGAATGATGAGACAAAAGTTGATGTGTTGAATCAAGCATGTTCTTTTGGTGCAGAAGAATTTGTTTTATATTTTCTGTCAGAAGGTGTAAGACCTGACAAAGACACAGCATTGTCATTGGTTAGTGGACATTGGAATGATAGTAACAGACAAGTGTTTTTACTTAGGAAAATTGTTGTATACTTAGATGATGAGACAAAAGTTGATGTGTTGAATACAGCATGTGTTTTGGGTGTAGCAGAATGTGTTAAATATCTTCTGTCAGAAGGTGTAAAACCTGACAAGGACACAGCATGGTGGTCATTAATTGAAGGACATTGTAATGATAGAAACGGACACGTGGGTTTACTTAGGAAAATTGTTGTATACTTGGATGAAGAGACAAAAGTTAATGTGTTGAGTACAGCATGTTTTTGGGGTGCAGAAGAATGTGTTTTATATCTTCTGTCAGAAGGTGTAAAACCTGACAAGGACACAGCATGGTGGTCATTGTTTGACGGACATTGTGATGATAGAAACAGACAACTGGGTTTACTTAGGAAAATTGTTGTATACTTGGATGATGAGACAAAAGTTGCTGTGTTGAATACAGCATGTTTTTTGGGTGCAGAAGTCCTTGTTTTATATCTTCTGTCAGAAGGTGTAAAACCTGACAACGACACAGCATTGTGGTCATTGATTGACGGACATTGTAATGATAGAAACAGACAAATGGGTTTACTTAGGAAAATTGTTGTATACTTGGATGATGAGACAAAAGTTGCTGTGTTGAAAAAAGCATTTTTTTGTGGTGCAGAAGAATGTGCTTTATAAGTTCTGTCAGAGGTATAAGACCTGACAAGGACACAGAATTGTGGTCATTGATTGACGGACATTGTAATGATAGAAACAGACAAGTTGGTTTACTTAGGAAAATTGTTGTATACTTGGATGATGAGACAAAAGTTGCTGTGTTGAATAAAGCATGTTTTTGTGGTGCAGAAGAATGTGCTTTACATCTTCTGTGTGAGGGAGTAGAACCTGACGAGGAGACAGTGTTTTGTGTGGTGGAGAGAGAGAGAGTAAAAGTGTTACGTAAACTACTGCAGTATGATGTCACTACTACAGCGAGGGATGAGTACAATAACAATGTCCTACATCAGGCGTGTAAGCATCGGAGAGAAGAGATGGTGACGTTGTTATGTGACACTTACCCACACTTGGTACATGTACATGACACTGGTGGGTTAGGACTAACCCCGCTCCATGTTGTGGCGTGGACAGGAAACTGTTCTATGTTTCAGACAGTGGAGAGGTGTGTACTTAACTCCTTATATAGAGTTGAGGACCAACATCATACGTGTGAGTCAGTAAATGGTCTTGTGGTTCATAGGAACTGTGTGTGTGTTCAGTATATGGCTCAGTTAGTGGATGATGACGGGAGAACGGTGTTACATTGGAGTTGTTCGGGGGGACACAGGAAGAATTGTTTATATTTATGTCAGTCGTATCCAGCACTTATAACCACAGCTGTAGATAAGGTGGGCCGTCATTGTCTACTTTACATAGCTGGGACATATAGGCTAGATGTAGACATGTTCACTGGGTGTGAAACTCATGTAAAACAATACCTAGAATCTACAGGACGTAAGTGTGACATCACAACCATATTTGCCAATGACGGGAGATCTGTTTTAGATATGGCAAAGGAAAGGACGAAGGAAAGGGCAAAGTTCTGGGAGACAAAACAAATCCTTTTGTTAGATCATCTTGTCAAAGTGTTTGGCAAATAAAAATGTTAATGATTTCCAAATGAAACGTACAATTATTATCAACACAAACCTTTTAAAACAATCATGTGGAAAGGTCATATCACGATGAATGGTTTTAACGAAGACATTTTATTAGTTTTCAAAAGATTTCGGTCCAAGTTTACCGATCTCCGTGCTTCGTAAAATAGGTCAAGGAGAGGAATGGAGAGGATCATGTCGGGTTTCAGACCAGAGTTGATGGTTTTATGATTGATCATGATTGTGGTGTTATAGGTTGTTTTAAATGTATTTTGAAGTATTGCATACATGATGCTATGTGCTGTGAATGAATGAAACATCAACAGTTAACTTTGATATGTTGTTGACATTTGATAGATATCAAATATTTCACAATTCACCTGAACAGAATCATAAACTTCGCCATTTTAAACATTATCAAAATATTTCTTTTATTGTATATATTTTGTTTCAAGATTTGCAATTTTTATTATCTTTGTTTAATTTAATCTATTTATGATACAATGTATTCTCATTTTTTGTGTAGTCTAAGATAGATTTGAGGTAAACATATTCTTGATTAAAATAAGTTAAAAGAGGAAGTTCAACACACATTAATAAAAAAAAATTACAACTAGTGTGTACTGGTATAAGGATGTCTTCTTTGGGCTTTGACAGTGGGAAATTTTTTTTGAGGAGGTTTGGCCTCACAGATGACAAAATAGAGTTTGTCAGGAGTGAAATAATTATGACTTAAATATTAATGATACTTCAGAATTGTTTCTCTCAAAGCATTAACAAATAAAGGTAAGGATAAGTTTGCTGGAGTGGGGCCAAACATTTCTTTTTCTGATGTTTGAGTATATAATCCTAAATGCAGAGCAGAGTGAAGCCATATTCTTTTCTGATGTGTTAAGAAATAGAAATATAGATTCATTTTTTTTAAATTGAAAAGGGAGATAATCCTTAAATGTAGCAGTACAGCTTTGATCACTTGTAAACGAAAGGGCCTGCACTTTTCTGGATACGGTACACAAAATATTCAAGTCTGTTATGAAAATATATATATTAGACCAACGGTCCACTTGAGTAAACCATGAATGTCCTCGTCTTTTCCCCAAGATCAGTGTTAGCGTGGAACAATCTGTCTGCAGATACGACCGGAGCACCTACCTCGGATTAATTCTAGGCGAGGTTGTCAACCAAACAATAGAAGACAGACACTGGTGTACATACAATGTAGTTTTATTAAATGAACTTTTTGACATTGTCATTATTTTATAATTAAGTACATGCCGAACCTGTGCAATCAGCGTGATATCCAATAGGACGTTGCTGATTTTACTGACCAAAACCAGAACCCTTTAACAAATGTGTGAACAGGTGGGGATCTCTTAATTAATAACATGGATATTAATTCCTGAAGGGTGGGTTCAATTCCATACAAGGTCTCGTCATGCATAGCAAGATAACATACATTAAAAGGTCATCTGTTGTTTTGGACAGGATGAGCTAAGGTATTTTTTTTGTAACAAATTAACAGTATTAATAATCACGTATGAAAATAAAATAAAATATGTTATCAGATTTTTCCATTTTTATATCTATGATATAGACCAGATGAGCTTATGTTTTTTTTAACTAATTAATAGTATCACCAAGTATGGAAAAGAAAAAAAGTTTATCAGGATTTTTTTCATTTTGTATTTCATTATTTATAATAAACTATGTTTGTAAACAAACATTGCATTTGTTTTTGTCATGTGCAACATTGTGACAGTTTGCTCCTGGTGGGATAACGTCAGTAATCCGTGAGATTTCTATAGTTTAAATCTGTGTAGTGTGATATAGCCCCCAAGGCTAAATGTAACATGTAGTTAATAAATAAGATTTATTTAACTGTATCATATTGTTCTGGTTGTTTGTAAATTTATATCTATTTAACAATTTATTCAAATCTGTAAGAATTTCCTTACTGCTACGAAGAGTCATTCATGGCAGTCACATGAAAAGTCTCTTCTCTTTTAATGTCAAATTGATTTGTCGATTAACGTTAGTGTGTGTTACTAAGAAACAAAGACAATTTAATATTATGCTTTTTAGCTAACCTGCCCGAAGGGCAAGTGAGTTTATGCCATGGCTCAGCGTCCGTCGTCAGTCCGTCCGTTAACTTTTCCTTTAAAACACTACTTGTCCTGAACGGTGGGTGTGGCCCCACTTTTGGCAGAGTGGTGGGGCCCAATAGGGGAAATAGAGGTAAAACCTTAAAAATCCTTCTTCTACCATATGGATTAAGGGATTTTATCCCAATTTGGTCTGGAGCATCATTAGGCCAAGGGCACTCAATTTTGTATAACTGGTGGGTGTGGCCCTATTGGGGGCAGAGGAGCGGGGCCCAGTAGGGGAAATAGAGGTAAAACCTTTAAAATCCTTCTTCTTTATATGCACCATAGGGATTAAGGGATTATATTCTTATTTAGTCTGGAACAGCTTTGGGTCAAGAGGACTCAATTTTGTAAAAATGGTGGGTGTGGCCGAACTGGGGGCAGAAGGGTGGGGCCGAATAGGCGAAATAGAGGTAAAACCTTTAAAATCCTTCTTTTACCATAGGGATTTAGGGATTTTATTCTTATTTAGTCTGGAGTATCCTTGGTTCAAGGGGACTCAATTTTGTATAAAGGGTGGGTGTGGCCCCACTGGGGGCACAAGGTCGGGACTGAATAGGCGAAATAGAGGTTAACCTTTAAAATCCTTCTTTTAACATAGAGATTGAGGGATTTCATCCCAATTTGGTCTGATGCATCCTTAGGCCAAGAGCACTCAATTTTGTATAAACGGTGGGTGTGCCCTCCCCTTGGGGCAAAGGAGAGGGGCCCAATAGGGGAAATAGAAAATAAACTTTTAAAATCCTTCTTCTAGCATAAGGAGTAAGGGATTTTATTCTAATTTGGTCTGAAATATTTTTAGGCCAAGGGGACTCCATTTTGTATAAATGGGGGCAGAGGGATGGGGCCAAATAGGGAAAATAGAGGTCAACCTTTAAAATACTTCTTCTACCATAGGTATTGAGGGATTTTATCCCAATTTGGTCTGGAGCATTCTTAGGCCAAGTGCACTCAATTTTTTATAACCGGTGGGCGTGGCCTCACTGGGGGCAGATGACCGGGGCCCAATAGGGGAATTAGAGGTAAAACCTTTAAAATCCTCCTTCTAACCTAGGGATTCAGCGATTTTATTCTTAATCAGTCTGGAGCATCCTTGGTCCAAGGGGACTCAATTTTGGTTAAATGGTGGAGGTGGCCCCACTGGGGGCAGAAGGATTGGGCCGAATAGGTGAAATAGAGGTAAACCTTTAAAATCCTTCTTCTAACATTGGGATTGAGGGATTTCATCCCAATTTGGTCCGAAGCATCCTTTGGCCAAGGGCACTCAATTTTGTATAAACGGTGGGTGTGCCATCCCCTTATGGCAAAGGAGAGGGGCCAAATAGGGGAAATAGAGAATAAAGTTTTAAAATCCTTCTTCTAGCATAAGGATTAAGGGATGTTATTCTAATTTGGTCTGAAACAGCTTTGGGTCAAGAGGACTCAATTGCGTATAAACGTTAGGTATGGACCCCCTGGGGGCAGAGGGGTGGGCTAAAAACGGGAAATACTAGTAAACCTTTAAAATCCTTCTTTTACCATAGGGATTAAGGGATTTCAATTCAATTTGGTTCGAAGAAACCTTGGGCCAAGGGCACTTAATTTTGTATAAACGGTGTGTTTGGCCCCTAGGGCAGAGGGGTGGGGCCCAATAGGGGAAATAGAGAATAAACTTTTAAAATCCTTCTTCTAGCATAAGGAGTAAGGGATTTTATTCTAATTTGGTCTGAAATATTTTTAGGCCAAGGGGACTCCATTTTGTATAAATGGTGGATGTGTCCCTACTGGGGGCAGAGGGATGGGGCCAAATAGGGAAAATAGAGGTCAACCTTTAAAATACTTCTTCTACCATAGATATTGAGGGATTTTATCCCAATTTGTTCTGGAGCATTCTAAGGCCAAGTGCACTCAATTTTGAATAACCGGTGGGTGTGGCCTCACTGGGGGCAGAGGACCGGGCCCAATAGGGGAAATAGAGGTAAAACCTTTAAAATCCTTCTTCTAATATAGGGTTTCAGCGATTTTATTCTTATTTAGTCTGGAGTATCCTTGGTCCAAGGGGACTCAATTTTGTATTAATGGTGGGCGTGGCCCCACTGGGGGCAGAAGGATTGGGCCGAATAGGTGAAATAGAGGTAAACCTTTAAAATCCTTCTTCTAACATTGGGATTGAGGGATTTCATCCCAATTTGGTCCGAAGCATCCTTTGGCCAAGGGCACTCAATTTTGTATAAACGGTGGGTGTGCCATCCCCTTGTGGCAGAGGAGAGGGGCCCAATAGGGGAAATAGAGAATATAAATATTCAGTACAACATATTTTTGAATGAAAATGAAATTAACTTGTGTCACTATACTGTTTGTAGTACCACTACAAACAGTATAGTGACTTCCAATATCATTAACGACAGCAGGGCTAGTTTTGGGAACTTCTGTAATTGGAACCTGTTCTGGATGTTTTGCCCCTGTATCATAACAGTCTAGGAGACAGAGGTCTACTAGATATCTGGAAAATGACTTTAAGAGACATTTTCCAGTGTATTGCAGATACAAATGACTTAAAGTTAATTTCATTTTCATTCAAAAAATATGTGTACTGAATATTTATCTTGTAAAAACTGGTAAATAAATCTTGCACAAAAATTATTTATACATTTGTTAGTGTAGCGGAATTAAACAAGAGGCCCAGAGGGCCTGTATCGCTCACTTGGATACACCTACACCCTAAATTTGAGCGAAATCGGTCAATATCTTAATTTCGACCAATCAGAGGCTGTGGCAGTCATCTTGGATGTGCAGTGGCAAAAAAGGTGTCTTACACAACTTTGTTTTCGAGACTTAAATATGAAGCAAAATTGCACTGTGAAAATAAGGAAAGAATTCATGACTTTTTCCTACAATATACCTTTAATGTATCTTTAAATTTCAAAATTATTTCCCATTTTTTTAAAAATATTTTTAACTTCAGTAAAAATAATATTTACAAGATCTAGCAATAGATAGTATGGCACTTTCATAAATAATAATAAATTAAGTTGCCTTGTAACATAAAAGTGAACAAATTTTGTGCAAGTTGGACATATTCTAAATATGGACAAATCAGGCAAAGAAAAAAATCTCCCTGACCCCGGACCGCCAATTACTTTTAAGCAACTTAATTGAATTTAATGGATGGTGCCCCTTGAAAAAACCTGGGGTGAAATAATAGTTTTACTGGATTAGCCCTAGTAAGATCTCATTTATGAATATTTTGAGTTGTACTTAAGGCTATTATTTAATATCCGATACCTGTATTCACGTACGTCTTAAACTTACATAAACAATATCTTCAACATTAAAACTTCTTAACAGTTTGATTTCATTTGAATTCTGGTTCTATTTCAGAGAGGATAACACTTCTCTTCATCTAATAAAACAATATTTTATAAGGACATACATTGAAACAATCAAAGTGTGAAAACATGCGTCAAAAATCCAGACCTGATTGGTCGAAGCTTGAAAAGAATAATGAGATATATGATTGTTTTTTAAATTCTATTAAATTTTCGGAAATATTAAAATATTTATGGAAATTGTTATAATTGTATTTACTTAAGGATCCCTGTCCCACTACAATGTGTTTTTTCATATATACAATACGTCTACCTTAATGTCGTTTTGATTAGAGTTGTAGCACGGTTGGGCCATGACACTTCCATTGACCAGGTAGCTCGGTTGGTTAGCGTAATAGTATAACAGACTGGTGTCCTAGGTTTGAAGCCCGGGTCTAGACCAAGTTCATTTTAATACTCAGAACACTGTTGGCGATTTTATTCTGTTTATTTCATTTTTATTTTATTTTTCATAAAAAATCCCTCAATATATGGTTTTAACTTTCTGAAAAGATTGATCAGAGCAATATAGTCATGCTAGAAAAAACAGTTTCCAATGCGTAGTAAAACCTTTGGCAGTGGTACGGGGATCCTTAAGCCAAACATTTTAAATCTCTGTAGATATAATTGTAGGTTCTTCAATACATGTTTTAACATATATACTAAAGAGAAGTTTTGAAACAATTTGTCGTTAGGTCGAACAGACAATTAACAATTGGGCCATGCAATATAATGCACTAAAAAAGGAAGTAATTTCCAGCTAAAACCATTTCAAAAGATGGCTAGTCTACTGGGAAGTGTCCTCGAATTTCCAGGGTTATGCTTACCTATATTTTCTGCATCCGTAGAATAAGTCATGACAAAACGGAAGGCACACAGTTTGATTGGTTTCTTGTGAAAAAAACTGTCCAATTTAGAGCTGATACCCGTCTTTTGAAGAGCGACACCTGACTTCAAAACCAATTAATTTTATCATTAAGCTACCACGTGATTCTTTTAATGTACATTAATGAATCAAAGTCTTCTTTTATTATCCACAAAGTGGCGCATACCGAGCCTTTGATTTTGTCATGATATATTCCAGAGATACAGAGAATGTAAGATAGCATAACACCTGGATTTTGAGAATGACTTGAAAGACTTAGTAATGAATCCAGCACTGATTTTGT